ATGCCAAAAGCAAACTCAGGAAGTTACTGACAATTTGATTTTCCCAGGATTAATAACAAGAGACTTCTGACGTAGCCGAAATATGGCAGACTATTTCTACTAAAGTTTTACAAATTACAAACACAGCAGACTGGCAAAGGATTAAAATCACAAACAGCCTCGGCAGTTAATATAAATCACTTAACTTTCCCATAGTAATCATATCCCCATGCAAATAAAGCTAATGACAAGGTTTATGCATGCTAATGAGAAAATATTACAGACAATAACAACACCCTAAGTAAAATTCCTGACAAATGGTAATTTTATATTTCTGTGTTACACTGCGTTTGTACCTGATAAGAAAGGAACACGGCGATAGGCACATACGCCAGATAATGAACATGAAGCAGGACCGTATGTAGGTGATCACATGTAAGGCAAGGATCAAGTATGTGGCATTACTTAATGTTCTGTTCTATAAATGACTCGGCTATCCAGCTGGGATCAGTGGCTGGCAATGCGCCGCTGTCACCACCACCATCTCTCTAACCCACGCATGTCTGAGCATGGGGGCCTCTCCTCAAAAGTCAAATGTCAGATGTTATCCATCCCCACTTATAGAGAAGGACCCGGTGCAACATCGGGGGCTCGGAGGCCCTCTTAGCTGGTGACGGAAAAACACCATTACTGAGCTAGTTTTGCTTTGGAACGTGGTGGTTGTCATGATTGCACCATGACGACCATATTACTAACTGTTTCTTTATTTTATATCTAACTGAGAGAAGCTCTGGTACAACCTGTCATTCAGTACAGAAATGCAGAGTAAGATTTAGTTTCCCCATTCGATCACAGGAATAGTTTATTAGCAATAATTATTTATTAAAGGCTGTAGAAGCTCTATATAATCAATTTGTTGATTTATGAATAACTGATGCATAACAATAGATCATTTCAAAATAAAATAATTGTTAATAAATTGATCAATCAACAGTTAATCAAGTCAAAGTTCTGCAAATTTACTTCATATCTAATTTTGGACTGCTGGTCAGACAAAACAAGCAAACTGAGTATGTAAACTATATGGACCAAAGATTATTCGCCTGGTTGATCAATCATGGAACTGTTGATTGCAGCCATATGGTTTATAATTAGAAAAAAATTAATCGTGACCACAAAATCTGACAAAATAATCAGGATTATCATGTGAGTCACGACATAATCCTTATTCAAATGCTGCTTAACCAGGTGAGCTTTTAAAAATGAACGCAAAAAAGCTGCAACAGTAAACGAGCAACAACAACAAGTGATGGAGTTCATCAAGGGCAACAGTTGCATACTGGAAATTGCTCATATACTTCAGTTTATTTCTGTCGGGGATAAAAACATGATGAAACTTCTGAAACTTCTCCCGCCTCAGCTGATTAAACTCTTGAGTAATTACTATGCGGCAGCGGCGTTCAGGAGCATTATGATAATGCATTTTGAAAACAGGTGGATGCAAAGCACTTATGATAAGTTGGACTGACACCTTGTAGCAGGGCAAACTAGGCAGCTGAAAACAAATTACTCCACACCTATAGCCTGCAGTTATTTTGGAGAGGTGCTTTGTACACAGCCAGTGTCTGTGTTGTCATAATACTGATGCATTACCAAAACACTGCCTTCTTGAAACTTGATGAATGAATAATGAGTTAAATTACTTTGTTGATCTCAACGTCAGGTTCAAGAGTGAGCCCTTGAAACTGGGCTCTCAGATTCCCTGACAGCCTCTCTAATGGCTAATCAATACATTTTAACCTGATTAAGACCACAGCAGACCCTCACTAAGCAGAGGAGGAGGAGGAGGGGAGGAGGAGGAGGAGGGAGAGGTACTGAAAATACAGTATGGAGACGTGCAATACGATGGCATCTCTTCAGCGTGACAAAGGGAGAAGTAGTTTCAGATCCATACAACCCATACTTGTCATATGTATTTTTCATTACCCTTCAAGTTGGTGGAGACTGTAGGGGGATGATCTCTTCAAATATTCATTACAAAAGCACCCAAGACATGGTGTGACTCTCTTTAACACCCAACCCCATTTTCCGGGCAAAATGTAGCACAATAACACAACTGTTAGCTCTGGACTTGCTACGGAAAAGAAATTGTTGCAGTTATCATTTTGTTCAACATTTCCCTGTTTCAAATGGCACAAGTTAAGCCTGAGAAAGCAATGAAGTGGAACTATATTTGTGATAGAGCTAAGCGAGCCAGCGCTCAGGCTTGCCTTTAATATATAGTTTATACTCACTGATTCCAGTCATGGTCTTTTGAACACTGTAGCATTGTCCTTCTCTCTCTCAATAAAATCTTAATGTTTAATGATCACTGATGATCTAATCATTGCAACCGGTTGAACCCTTAGCAACTAAGCCTTAGTAAAATGACTAAACAATTCCTTTCTGTGCTTGTGCACACTGTGATCACTGCACATGCCTGTTGTGATGTAGTGGAGCTGGAGAGGATAATGGTTGCAACTAGTCCCGGATCAAAAACCAGCCAGCACCAATAAACACATTCTGTCATCTTTGAATGCATCTTCCAACATGAGGAATCTCACTTACGGTGACATCAAGTGTTCATATTCTATAGCAGAAACAGGCTTTCATACTGCAACTTCAGTGGAGTGCTGCCTTCAAGTCAACACAAGATGTCAACTGACATGAAACTAGGCAGGCTGCATTGCTCCTACTCCGTGTTCAAGGGATAGGTCGACTCGATTATAATCTTTATTGCATTCTTATGGTAGACTGCAAAGGTGGAATGTCAGACCTGTAAACACAGAAGGCAGGAAGAGCCAGCCCTTATGGTAACACTACAAGCCCACGATGAACACCCCCAAAATGTGAGATAGGCGACATCAAGTAGTATTATGCAACGGTTAAAAAAGAAAAAGAAAAAAGAACAAGGAGCCTTTGGTAAAACTATGCTAGGTGATGCATGCAAAATAAGGGGAAATCGCCCTCGGGTTGAATGCAATGGTTGTGCAATATCTGCATGCATACTGTAAAGCTGTGCACTGTGTGTATGAATCAAACGCATCTGTCACACTGCTGCCTGTATTCACCGCTAATGAAAACAGTGTACGTACAGACGGGCGGCTGTATCACGCCTCAGAGCCTGAATGTGACACATTTCGAGAACAAATTCTTGCTAATGTCTACAAACTGGAGTTAACCCTCACTTCCTAGTTTACTGCTGCTGTCATAGCTCGGCTAACACCCTTCTTCCTCCATAGCCAGCAAACAATTCTCGACTACACTCGCTGCTGCTGCTGCTGCTGCTGCTACGACCATGAATTCTTCAAGTCTTGCTGGCCGGGAGGGAGAGAGCTGTGGTAGCATGTCGTTTAAGTGTGGCATGAAGAGAATTACACTTACATTTCACCACCCTGTCCGTCGTAGATAACTTCGGTTCATCATTCGGCTTGTTTTCGGACATTTCCAGTGTGATATAATATTGAGATATAGCAGAAATGAGACTGAAAACGGTCCCTGCGTTGCTCTTGCCGAACAACTCTTGAGTCTATCCGAGAAAAGAGACCGCAGTGATCTCACTCGGTCCTATCAGCGGCCAAAAATACTTGCAACAGGGTTACAGTTTCACTGCTGGTGCTGTAGGAGCTGCTCTGTCTGATTTACTGTTACTCTGTATCAAGTTGTCTGAGCGCAGTGTGCAGTCAAACCTGCTAACCCACAGGACCCGCCCCCTACTCACAGCCACTCTTCCTATTGGTGGGCAGCGGCAGGCGGCCGCTTTGCGTGCACATTCACTTTTATCAAAGGGCTGTTTCTGTGTCAATCTGACCGAGTAGGAATAACTGGAATTAATAACTTATAATATTTTTTTTAGCTGGGCATGCACAATGCATAACAGGATGATCAGATAAAAAACAAGTAACATTTTTATCCAATATATATTGTGTGGATGCAGATAATATAATATAATGTAGCACCAAAAAATCTCTATAGGCTACATTATTGGCTTTGTTTGAAAATGTATTTTCCAACCAGGGAATATATTCTCAGCCTCTTTCCACCTAAAAAAAATTATAAAACTAATGCTAAAAATGTTCGTGGTCCGCTCAGGTCTTAGTTTCATATCTTTATTTATAAAAACAATGCCATTAATCTACATTTCTGTAAATGTGCCAATGAGATAAGATAAACAGTCAAAATTGTGACATAGTAAGTAAAATATTATTAAATAAGCCTCAATATTTTGATATCATATATAAAACATTGTGAGCTAGTGAGTCACAAATACGACATAAAAAGTATAATATAGTTATATAATATAATATTTAAATTTTTAATTTTCATCATGTATAATTTTTCTTCATCTTCATCTTCATCTTTTTTTTCTGGCAGAAATTAATCCTTATTTAATTACCCACTAATCTTTCTTCAATGATTCAAAACATATTTATATATCATTTGCAGAGAATATTCATGCTCCCATGAAGATAAACCATTTTGATTTAAATGACTGCATGTCCTTTCCTCCAGCGCCATCCTCTGGACACGATTAGCACTTTCAGTTTTGTTTGTCTAGATATCTCATTGGAGTCGTGATTATCATTTCATTTGTTTCCTTGTCACTAGTCATGGAAAAGTAGCTGGCTTCAACTTTTATAGTCTGCTACAGAGGATGCGTTTTGTTTAGCTGAACTCACTACAGATTCATATGAGGATTTCATGTCCTGTGTTTGTGGTGAGATCCGAGTAGTCATACAGAGAATGTGAGTGAAAGCTTGTTACTCTGCATGCATTGGAACAGAATGATCTGTCATTGGTGAGTCACCAGGTACACGGCACCAGTGATTTGCATGAAGGAGACCTCCGCTTTCACCTGCTCATTTTCTCAACAGCTGTGCATTTGAGTTACCCCACTGCTGCTCTAAGGAAATAAATGGTGGCAAACTGCTATTAGTGAGACAGCGGTGTGGTATGAGTCAGTTGTTTGGCAGGTGGGGGCAGTTAATGAAGCCCTGAGTTTTACATTTCTCTCAATGAGGGACTGTGTGTGTGTGTAGGTCAGAACATCCCAAAGCCTTTTTATCTCTGCCTGTAGTAGAGACATTCACACCAGATCATTAGTTTTAACACGCCTCAGGTTCTAGTGCTCTGCTTTGCACAAATGGCTCTGCAGACTTAATTAAACTCTGGTCAAGTCTTTGACTCAAGTTTTTATTTTTTGCTTTCCCATCACCTATTGTCTGCTTGAATATGACCTTTGCTTATTATTTGCTGTTTTTGTCCTCACATATACCTATTCTGAGTTTTTTATGGGATACCATAAAATAGTAAGCTGTGATCATTTATTATTTTGTATGAGCATTTCTGTTTCTATTTCAGTTTCAGTTACTTACATCTACTTCTACTGTAGCTTTGGTAGTTTTTACCCCATTAAAAAAACAAGTTATATAATGAGAAAATACTCAAATATCCTCCACCTGAAGTTGATTTTTCAAACTGAAAAAGGTCATATTTATACAAACAGTGAAATTTTTTGTCTTACTGTGCTGCCCTCTTCAGCTCCTCAGGGAATAAACATTATCTAGACTTTTTTTTTCTAGACTTTTTATGACTTTTTATAACTTCCCATTTTGAATACCAGGTTTGATAGTGCCAGTATACCAGTAACACGTTGACAGCAAAACTAAACTTTGATGACAAACTTATGATGTCCATATCACATAATCAGTTTAAGGAATTTTCCACAGAATTAAAGTTTCATTTGATACATTTAATTCCACTGATTTAATTACTTGGAATTTCTGCCATTGAACTAGTTTTTTTTTAAACAAAACCTCCAAGCTTCCTCCATGTCACCTGAGCAGAGAACAGGCTTTATGATCACTTATAAAAAATGGTCTCATTTCTTTGTCCACTTTGGTGTAGCAGGAAACTCCCTCTTATCTGAGCTCCTCCTAACAATAGCAGCTCTGTTTTTCATGTCACTCTGAAGTAAGACCTGCAGACAAACAACACCGTCGCCATGAGCCAGACAGGTAAGCTTTTCATTGTTTATTCATTAATGCATTATTGCATACATTTTTACTGAGGTAATAAAGATGATTAATTGTTTTAATATATGAGTCTTGCTGATTTATGATTTTTTGTAATGCTCAGAGCAACATTTTGGTTAATATTGGCAATATTACTTGTATGTATTTTTCCCTTGTGGTCAGTAGAAAGGTCTCTTTTGCTATCAATATATCTTATGCAGCCTAAATGCATGATTAAGGTAGTGTAAATATTATGGGTTTTTTTCTACAGAAATTTAAATACTGAAAGTCACAAACATATATTGTGAATTATGTCACATTTCTTTTAACAAAACCTGCCTTATTCTTGCAGTTGAGGAGCTGTTAATCATCTATGAGACAGAGGCAGAGCAATGGGCCACCTACCTGCAGTCAGTCTTCACTGGTCCAATCTCAGAGGCTGGGATCTGCTGCTATGACATTGCAACAGTATCCAGTCGGCGGGACGACTTCCTCAGGCTGACCCAGTATACCTGCAAGCTCCTGATCCTCTCTAAGGGCATGCTGGAGGGTCTGTGCCAGATGCGGCGCTTCTTCCTGGCCCGCGTACTGAGTCCTGCAGCTCATGTGGTGGTGCTGCTGTGTGGGGTGGAGAGCCTGACCCCGCTGCTGAAGCTGGTGCCCCTGAATGGTGACGAGTGCCTGCAGATCTCCAGTGAACAAGATGCTCATGAGTACCTGTCCACTGTGACTGATATTGTGAGAAAAGGTATGGCATTGGCTGCAAAACATTTTTTTTTTACTATTTTGTGGACCCCCAAATATCCCATGTGAGGAGAGTTCGACTTTACATGATATAGTACTGGCTGTATTACACAGAAGGTAAAAATGTAAAATAAATGCCCTTACATATTATTCCACCTCTACCATCTTCCAAAGAATTAATTCATTGTGAAATTAAATGATTTTTATAATTTACTTGGGACTTCCGAGGATGTCCTCAAAGACCCTTGCTGGTCCCCGACCTTATTTCAGAAACCAGTCAGGTGTGAAAACCTATCTCAGTTTCACTTCAACTCTAATATCTAATATTTTGTTCTTATATTCAATATGTTTTAAATATAAGAGGTGTTATTCCATTCCAAGTTTCCCATATAATTTTCATTATGACAGTATCATTTAGAGCATGCATTAAAAATACTGACTGAAACTCTAATATAATAATAACATTATAATACAATTTATGAATGTTAAACACTAAAACAACTCAATCATACCATAAAAGGTATATCATATAGAAGTTGCGGCACTGATGGATCAATATCTTTTTTTTAACAAAAGACAAAGTCTCAGCCTATTTAACAGTGACAAATATCCTAATGCTTGTCAGTAGACTGACATTTAGTCACAGTGTGCATCCCAGTCTTGCAGACCTTGCACACAATCACCCTCTTCAACATGCCCTTCCTTCAGGAAAAATTTCACATGGCCTTGCTGTTCCCCTGCCATAAGTGCGAGGGGGAAAAGAATGCTCATTATTTGTGAGAATGCCTGAGCAGCAGCTTGGAAAGCTGTTTACCAACGTTTTTTCCCGAGAATTGTGTGCACTTTGATTGACATCCAGTATTTTTTTTGCACCAGCTGCAGAGACATCCTTGGTGAAACTGTGTGTATCACTTGCATGTCCTCATCTGGCCTGCCAATTATCCTCTGCCTCCTTCCCTGTTTTTCCTAATTGCACTATTTGTATAAAATCATAAAGCAGAGGAAGGGGCTTGTATTTAAACAGGTGTGTGCGCAGGAGGGAACATTTGATGCAAATAGACAGTCTTTCCTCTTTGGCCACCACTCATCGCAAGCCATGCAAATTCAAGTGCACTCTGTATTACTTCATTGCACTGATATAATGAAGTGGTTCAGGACAGGATCCCACTAACAGTTATATTTTAACCTAGGAGTACCTTCTCTATTCATACAGGATAATGCTGTTTGTTTGTTAGCTCACATGCAACAGACATGTAGGTGTTTGAAGACTTATACAAGGGAATAAAGTGCACTTCACGATTGGTTTCTCTGGTAACAGTGAGCCAGCACTAATGTAAGTGAAAAGTACAAGACAAGAGTCTATTTTCTATCTGAATCACTTAAAATAGTTTTTTTTAATTTAATGCAGTTTAATCTCATTTGGTTTTAAATGACAAGACAAACACTCTATAAAGTCATACGAGCAGCTCTATGAGGCTACTGAGGTACAGTGGTGTGCAAGCTCACGCTCCTGCTCTGTTAGCATGTTAGCAGGTATGATGTTTGACTATGTTATCGTGCTAGGCAGATGTAATGTTAATCATTCTCACCATCTTACTTAAGTTTGTAAGCATGCTAACATTTGCTATTTGGCACTGAACACAATGTACAGCTGAGGATTAGGTTTGTAATATTAAGTCATTGACCTGATGATGGTGTTAGATGAAACCTTAAGGAATCACCAAGAGATTACACTTCATCCTGAGAGGGACAGAAATGTAGCAGTTTCATAGCTGCCATTTAGACATTCCACTTAAAACCATAAATGAGAACCTTGTGGTGGTTCTAGAGGAAAAACTAGAGGATTATGAAAGTAGGATTCATTCTCTGGGGACTATGAATGTCTGTACAAAATGTCTTGGCGATGCATTTTTTTAGATGGCAAGATATTTCTGTCTGAACCAAACTGGCAGACCAACTGACCGACATTGCCATCCCTAGAGCCTCGCTGCTAGCATGGCTAAAAATGCACATGAAGTATCTGCATTTAGCAGACATATGAGGTTTAATGTCCCATGTTTTGCAGGTGTGTCAGCCTCAACAGCAAACGTCAACCCTTTGACTCATAAACCATCAGGATCAGAACGAAAGGCGGAACAATCACAGTCAGCTGGAGCCCAAAGTGTCAGATCCAGCATTGTGGTTGTTCCTTCCAGAGTTCCATGTGGGGTGAGACACTCTTCTAGTCAGTAGTAAGCCATTTCTTTGTTTCATAAAGCATCCCTAACATTGACTACACTGCAGTTCACTGTATTGTCTGTTTGGCAGAGCTCTATGGAGGTGTTCATTCTTTTGAAAAATGAAACGGCTGGCAGTGACGCCGAGGTTGAGTTCACTGGTGAGAATCAGATGCTGAGAGTGAAGCCTGTCCGCTGGAATGAGCGGATCCTGTGCGTCAGTGCACCAGGTGAACTAAATACTGAAAAAAGAATTGAAATAAACAAAATACATATAACTGCCAAATATTTTTCTTTATTACTGATATATAATAGCATTTTAATCGTGATTTGATCGCCAAACCATGTTCAGTATTAAATTCGCTGTATTAGTGACATTGCACAATCCTGCTCAAGCTTTTAATATAAGGCTCCATTATATAGTTAGATAGACTACCACTGCAGACCATTGTGAACACAAGCCCTGAACAGATAATGCGGGCCCTCATTGTGAATATTTGTGATTTTAGGCGATTTCAAGTGCGCCTGATCTTTAATATTTTAAATAGTATTTACAAACCAAACAGTGGCTCTAGATAGAGCCTTTCCTGTTTCACTCCTGTGGTTTCTCCTACACGCTTGGAAGGCTGAGCTGTATTCAGTTTTTTGCAATCTGCTACTTCAACACTAGATGCCACTGAATCCTACTGACTGGTCCCTTAACTGAGTCCTTGTTACCAAACTTAATAGATCATCTAATAGACCCAGTCACTGACAAAATCAGCTAAACTAATTAGATCTATACCTAATACACTGACCCCAGGCAGTTAAAGTATCTATCATCTTTCTGTAAACACATCCCTTCAATTAGGTGATTAGGTGGCCATTATAAATTAAATTCCAGACCATGCTCCACACTTAATGCAGAACAAAAATATGCTCAGAACATGGTGCTTTAATAATCTTTTATTGGCAGACAAATCCTTCACAGACTTTTGAACATCCAAGATTGAATTCTTTGTGACAACAAATAATACAGAAGACATATCAGTGTATCACTGTCGTTGTCTTATAATTTCCTACGGTGTGGCTGCTAATAGGAGGCAAGTGGAACAAATGTCTAGCATTACTGATCAGATCTTAGATTAGATCAAACAGAATTCAACCTTCTTTCAACACATGAAATGACATGGCTGTTATTACAAGCCTGTCACAGCCGGGTCTTATGAGCATGGTGAGAAAGCTGGGAGGTTTATGGCTTTACAAATTAGACAATCAGCCGCTTCTAGAATGATAGCAGAAACTAATTCTGGACTGACAACATGATATAAACGAGGAATTTGAACTTTCTACACTTGTTTGTATTCCTCAGAGTCAGAAAGCAGGGGAAACAGACTCCCACTTACACTAGGTTGATCAAAGATGTTATGCAACATCTTAAACTGAAAAAACTTACAGAGAAATAGACTTGACAATTATTCATTGATTATAGCAACTAGGCAATCAATATACTCTATGCTACAATAACTAGGTTATACCTAATGTGAGATGTAAATAATTACCACATCCTATTGTTTTTATATGTGTAAATTCTGTAAACAGTTATACCAATAGACAAAATATATATAACAATTCAATCTTTAGTCAAAAATATTTCATTTTAGCCCTGCCGTTGTACAGTTTCTGTATGTTTTCTCCTGCAGATTTTCCAGCAGGGAATGTAAGAGTGACCCTGTATAGTAATGGAGTGCCACTGAGCAAGGCACAGTTGCAATACTACAGCAACATGGAGGAAATAACCTGCCTTTTGGCGAGGGCAGCAGACCCTGTTGATTTCATGTGCCAGGTAAAGCCATTAAAGGGCTCTTTCACTTCAAAGAATATCCACAGTTTAGTTATTGTTCATGAGTGTTACAGTTAAATAAGAAATTCTACTGTTTTTACACATAAAGGTTGGTTTACTAGTCATCAAGAGTTGCGAAACCAGTTGTTTACTGGCTTCAGGGGCTCAAGAGGAGCTTTGTCAAGTCTGAAAAAATAACTTTGAAGATGTCATCAGGGTTATTTTGGCTTGGGTTGGGAGACTACATTCAAACGGCAGCATTTATAGAGCTGCCAACCCTGTGATCAGTGAACAACCCCTCTACCTCCTGAGCCACAGCCGCCCATTTATAGCAGGAGTAAAAAAAATTGGGGGTAGGCAGTTTTAAGAACTGTGGGTATTTACCAAGCAGAATGGGTCAATTTATGGGAAATTTGTGTTTGTGTTGTGTTGCGACTTGTCCTTGGCTACTTTGATTTTGATTCATTTATTTGTTGTCAGTCCTGTAACTTTGATGGACGTGCAATACTAAATGGAGGAGACCTTTAATAGGAGGTAGTAGGGCTGGCAACATGGCCAAACTCTTCAACAGCAACAGTGTAAAAAAGATGTGCATTAATATTTCTAAACTTTATTTATCTGATGAAGACTACAATTTGAAAATGAAATTAAACGTAACATTACAGTATTGGATGGAATTGTATGGAGTTTTTGCAAATATATTAAAATAGCTCTACCAATCATTGATTTAGAAATGTAGGAAGCACATTGAAATTCTGTGCTTTTCTCTCTCTCCTCAATAAAAGTAACTCTTCTGAGGTACTTTAAATGTTATGTTACTTAGTGACTCATCATTATGAAACTCAGTTATAGAAATTAGTCAATCGCCGTCCTAAAACACTGCTCATAATCGATCTACTTCAAGCCATTAGAAAGAGGCGGAAAAACAGAAGATGAATTCAATCAGCTTATTTCTGCTGATGTTTATGTGTGTCGTTGTTTACTGTCTCCTCTCTGGAAATTAAGATACGGCAGGCTTCAGCCTTCTCCTGGCCATGAACACTTGATTTGATTAGGTCTCTTTTGCTGAAGAAGCATAGTTGAGCAATGCCAAGAGAAGAACTTGCCAAGAATGTTCAAACTAAAAGTCCGGACTGGGACAACTGGACTGGCATCTTTGTTGTGCCTCTATAGGCTCTATTTCACCATACAAAATTAAACATTTGTTTGTTTTATCAAATAAACATTTTAGTTAGTAGTTTTCTTGTGTTGACTATTTTTTCTTTGCAGCCATGCCTCAACAAATTATTTTAAAATGTAGTCTGCATGTTTCCTCTCTGGACTTCAGGCTCTTCAAGAGTCCTCTGTGGAGAAGCTGGATCAGAAGTTGTCCTCCATGCTCTTGGAGGGCATGCCGACTGGAGGCTTTCGGGGACTGCAGTGTGAAAACACACCTGAAAGAGGTACAGCACTGTAGGATTGCTTACTTAGAACTTTATATTGAAAAATATCTGCTGAGTAATCACACCCAACCTGGTGCAACTTTCTTTACATTTTATTTTAACTTTCAGGGATACACAAGCAAAGATACCATTTCAAACTATTTGCTGACAGTATATTTAATCACAAATTATTTGTACTTGAAATGTTTCATTGCAGGATACAAGGTATTCTTAAAAACAGTTATACAACCCCTGATTGTGTGTAAAACACGTTCTCTTCACACAGTTCCAGCAGATCTACCCATAAATTACATGTCATTGTTGTAACAGGTGATGCTTAATTGAAATGATGCCTTGTTTTAAATATGCGACATTAGCAGCATTTATGCAAATGCCTTACCACAATAGCCTGTCCATTTTAATTCACTCCTTTCCCTCTGAGCATGTGTTTCTGCAGCAATGTGGATTGAACAATATTCTCACAGTCGGAATGTGTTCCTGTTGCACATCATCCACTACGAAAAGAAAGCCCTCCATTATTTCTTGGCTCATTATGTGGCAGATTGATGGCTTCATCAGCTACCGAGATTGATCCTTAACTCTGCTAAAAAGGGCACAGGGAAACGTTTCCATGACAAACTAGTCAATAAGTGCCTCCAAGCAGTCTTTCTTCGACTCTCCTGATTGTATTAGATTGCTCACATTGCATCGGGTCAACTTCAAGTTATAACCTGTAAAGGAAGTAATAACAGGGGATGAGAACTGTGCTGTTGTTGAATATTATGTGTAAAAACACACAGTTGTTCATTTTAAGGCCTAACTGGATGTTGATAGTGCAGTAAATTCTGAAATATTCTTTTTCCCCCACCTACTGTAATCAAAACTGGCAATTATCCACATCAGAGCTCCACCATGCACATGTACCATCACTCCTCCACTTTGCTGCCCAGTATGGATTGAAGAGTGTCTCCAGCCTGCTCTTGCAGTGTCCAGGTGCTGGGCGAGCACTGCACACAGTCAATCACCACGGACAGACTCCCACTGAGATTGCCAAGAGTCACGGCCATACAGAGCTTCACATCTTATTGAAGGAATCTCTGGTAACTACTTCCCTATTAACTATTTGTGACTCCCATCATATTTACATTGTTTCACTTAGGCTTACTTAACTTACTCTCCAGCTGGAATTTATCCTTGCTAGTTTATCTATATTGACCCTCTATACAATGAAGACATTTCTCAAAATGCCAATATCTGATGACAGCTTCTTATGTTCAGTGATTTGTGAGCTAATTAAAACCACCCAATCACATTATTTGTCTATCTAGAGCTGTCTCGATGTAAATGTCACCTAAATGGATTTCTATAGTTTTCAGTTACCTGCTGACAGCTGAGAAAAACAACACAATGAACCTTAGCTTTGTGAGATCTCACAGCCAGCACTCAGGAATGCTCTTACTAACACCAATACAGCATTAGGGCTATGAGTGAGTGGTGCTTTATCAATAATAAACGGAATGGAGAGGATAGTGTGGTAGAGAGTGACCTGTATATTAGGGGCAACCTCACTCCCTCCTAACCAGTGTCTTTTCATCCAGCGCATGGCAGTGGATTGATGGTAACCCCCCCTCTCATCCTGAATATGTTTGGCCTGCGAGGTTCCTAATGGAAACACCCCCACAGAGACTAGAAAGGCTGTGTTTGTTCATGCATGCACAATGGCTCACAGCACAGGTCGTCTGCATACATTCAGACAATTAATGCAGCCACTAATGTCAAGAGTTTCTTGCGTAATGGCTGCCATTTTCCCATGTTAATATGAAGAGCTTCTTCCTTGCTCAACCTCCCATTTCACTGTGTAGCTACAGTTACACAAGAGCAGTACGTTTGCAGCAATCCAGATTTAATGGATCTTTTGCACACATGCACATCCTTTTATTTGATAAACCTGGAGGACACTAGCATCATAATGTTTTTTCCAATGCTAATTTCATTAGGCAGCGAGGACATTATCATTATTAAAAAGACATGATGCACCCAGTGGTATAGCCAAGACGGTAAGCTGAAAACACCACTTAATTTTCATTGTGTCCTGCAGATACTTAACCAGATATTACAGATGCACACAATGCAAGAAACATTTTCATTTGAGCATGATACCGTTTAATGGAATAATGAATACTTAAAGTTTTAAAGGTTCTGTCTGTACAGGTGTCTCTCCTGTCACTGTATCTCACTAGCGCTTCAATAGATATTTAGGTTTTGCCATTTTGGGCTTGGCTACCATTACTCCTGATACCTAAAAGCACATAACGCCCATAAAACAACACATTTTTATTTTTACACTTTGCTTTCTGTACGGATTAACAACATGTTAATCAGTGAGCTTTAGAGGTGCTGCTGGTCAGATTCTGTTATCTTTGGACATAGCCAGGCTAGCTGTTTCCCCTTTTTTTCCTGTCTTTCTGCTAAGTTAAGCTAATAGGCTGCACGTGCTGGCTTCCTATTTCCCACATAGACCTGAAAGTGGTATTAATTCTCTCAACTAACTCTTGGCAAGAATACAAATAGGCATAATGTAAGTAGCAATGTTAAAAAATTGTACTTTGAGTAAAGGTTCTAAATCACAACTATCAATTACAACTTGTTTTTAACTGGTTATGAAACAGTCTCAATTTAATTCTGATGCTTCTATATGACCTACATAAACATAATTATTCATAAGTCGTGCCACTGGGTTGAATTCAGTTGGATTCCCCTTGAAATCAGTGAAATTAGGCAGTAGAAACACTACTGCTTTTGTTGCCAGAATTAACAAAAAATGGAAGGTCTTTGATGCAGCTTTAAGAGATATGCTTAAATTATATTATTATACATGCAATATATTATTATATTATTATTACTAATGCATTAACATGAAAGCAAACAGTCATATTCTTTATTCAAAGTAAGTGGTAAGTATACCTGTCAAAAATAACTGAAATGTAGTTAAGTAAAGGTATAAAGCATCGGAAAAACAGAACAAGTACTTCAAAATTGTAGTACAAAGCTTATGTAAATGTTTCTTGTTACTACTTTCAACCACCAGACACTTATTTTGAAAAAAAATAAAAAATGTTGCTGCCGGTTTTTTAAAATGAAACATTTCAGTGTTGTGGCACAAACAAATTCTATTCATCTCCATTGTATTGCGGTAGAAGCAGAAATCTTAGAAATGCAGCTTTTCTCAAAACCTGGACAAATAAAACCAAAATGTTTGTATGGCTGGAAACTGTAGCCAGAGATAAGCAAGCAAATGTGTCATCAATCACCTGTTGAATTCCTTGTGTTACACCAATTTGTACCATCAGCAGCATAATGCTCATTCATTCATATGGAAATCTCTGCTCTTATCTTCTGCCTTCCCTTATAATAGTGGCAACTTTGAACCTTCTCTGATGGCTCTGATGGATCAACATATAGAGAATCGCCCCTCTAGGGAAATTTAGATGCTCCAACAGCTGTTGTAATGTATTTATCCCCCTAGCAACACTGATAATTTGAGAGTGACTGCAGATGGAGCAAGGTTTGATCAGACTGCTCTTCCGAGTCAAAGAGCTCGCTGGGAGCCTGCAGTGAGTCAGCTGAGCCAACAGGGGAGCAGTGGAGTCAAACACAGGCCTCCCCAGAGGGATTTCAACATGCCTATAGATGTAACATAACAGACAGATTTGACATCGACATTTCTTTGTCGTTTCTTAAAGAGTAATTAACATCCATCTTGACAGCTGAAACTATATACATCACTGTTCTCGTGTGGGGCTTTAGTGAAAGTAGAAGACCAGCATTGTGGGGTGCGGTTTTGTTCTTGCTTCTTTTTTTGCACGACAGTTTCATTAACTCATCTGCAGTGTTTCCCCCACCTCCAATTAATCAACCCATGATGCATCAGTGATTTGGGCGTCAGTGTAGCAGCACTGTCAATAAATCCTAGATGGATCGGTCCCCTGCTTCATACACAGGCTGAATCACTCACAGGACCTGCGTCAGATCCACTAGTCTGCCCTGGCACCACACTTCTTTGTTAATTAGCTGTGAACTGCTCCAGTGGGGAAAGCTGAATTATTCAGGAAGAGCATAACTAGAATACAGAAAATGCTCTGCAGTTATCCACGATGTTTATGTCCTCAGACTGCAATATTGTGCCTGCTGATAGTAATTACTAACACAAACACACATTGTCCTTATTTAATATTTTAATACTGGGTCACAAATTTGGCTGACTGTCACTTGGCATTTAGATGGACTCTGCACTCCTACCAAGATTTCACTGTGTGCTCTCAGATGTAGCGCAGAGCTCGATAAATACAAATTAGCTTCACACTGTATAGTCCTCCAAAGACCACAAAGAGTTATTTACGTGCTGTGTTTGTGTACAGTATAGTCTCATCCAAATGTAAGAGAACCAAATTGGGTGACACCCTAGCCTCTGTTCCAGGGATCTGTTTGATTCCACTGACAGTATTTTGCATATCATGTTTGTTTGGTCAGTAACTGCACAAAGTTAATCAAAACCAAACTCCAGAGATTTGTTTATCATTTGAATGATACGGTCAAAGTCATTCTGAAAAAGGAACTGTTTTTATCTGTCATGTTATATGCTGCATATGTGTATAGCAGGGCTGTTGAAAAATGTTACATTTAAAGTTCCAGTGTGTAGCATTGAGGAGGATCTATCGGCAGAAATTGAATATTTATAGGTATGTTTTCATTAATGTATAATCCCCTCATTATAGGAGTTATTGTTTTCTTAACCTTAGAATGAGCAGTTTTTATCTACAGAGGCTGTGGGGTTGCCTTCCATGGAGTCCGCTATCTTGAACCACCATGTTTCTAAAGTAGCCCAGAACAGACAAGCCAAACAAGCCTTTTTAGTTTTTCATGAGTTTCGCTGTCCACATAGTTTCTCCTACACATTTTACAACCTGTTCTCAATCCCAGGTTGTCAAATACAGACTGCAGTGGGGTTCAGTTGGTTGCAGTCTGCAACTTTACCACTAGATGCCACTAAATCCTACACACTAGTTCTTTAATCAACTACTTTACTCTGTTTTTAACTACGCTATCAGTTGCCTTTGTGATGGTAATGTCAGTCCAACACTTCGGCCCAGATTGATTTATATCTCAACAACTATTGGATGGATTGCCATAGAAAATTTGCACAGATATTTACAGTCCCCAAAAGATAATGCCTACTAATGTGAGTGATCCCTTGACTTCTCATCTAAGCTTAGCAAAGCTTTCACTTATCCAGTAAAATATGTAAACAATTACTTGATAGATTGTCACAATATTTTTTAAACATACCTTCATTGTCCTTTAGTGACATCATGAGGTTGACATTTGTGATTCAGCTGTACTTTGTGTTCAGTACCCTAAGACAGTAGCACATTTTGACATGGAATAGTAGGTCAAACACAGGTGATAGCAATGGCGCTAATTAAGGTTCCATTCCACTCGAGGTCAAACAGAGTCAGGGCGCGGCTATTGGGCATGTCAAAATGGCTGCTGTGTGTCTATTGGCAAATGTTAGCGTCATAAACAATATAGCTGCTAAACACCTGCAGGTTAGCATTGCCAGTGTGAGCATATTGACATTAGTACTTAGGTGTTGAAGTATGGCCTCAGAGAGCTGCTAGCATGGCTGTACGTTATTAGTGTTGTTACAGTTGCCATCTTTAATACATGTTTGATTTTGTGTTAAAAGAAAACTATGAAGATAGCACTCTACAGAGTAAATATAGTTTTACATGAGTGTGAAGTGTTTCTTTGGCTGCTGAGCTGACCACTTCTTACAGTATTTTTCCATGCCAAAAAATAAGTTGGATGGATTTTGTCTTCACGGCACTTAAGTGATGGGTTCAGTGTTACACTCTGCAATCTGCCATGCATCAAACACTCTTATCCTGAAACCACTATGTCAAAAGACAGGCAGCATGCTGGCACTGAGAGCCGAGACTAGCCAGCCTGTGAATTGACCATTTCAGCTGCTGAAAACAGATTTACACTCCTTATCCTACTTGAGATTGGTTCTCCCTCGAATAAGATCATGCCTGCTGTTTTGTCTGAAGCACTGCTGGTTGGATTGCAGCGGTGAAACTGAATTTGTCAGGAATGCCCAGAGCTCCTGCAGTTTCAAACATCTGTAAAATGATTTAGCATTTGCGGTTGGTAAATAAATACCCCCTTCCCTGTCCAGAAATTATCCCAGAAAATACCACACTGCGCTTTAGCACAGCATCCAACTATTATAATTCAATGTTCAAGCGGCGGTGGTAATTAACCCGTCCTTTCTACCTGTTGGGCCTGTTATGAACCTCTACTGTTAAGTAATGCATTCATGGCAGCCAATAAGTAATTTGCAGTACTAGGAACAGTGTAATATTGTAATTGAGTCATGAGTGGCTGTGTTGCTTGGAAACTGCACACAGAGCGTGGCAGGTTATATGGAGAATGTCTTGATCAAAGTGAGCTGTATCTCATATATTCTGAAAAGATTTATATTATTGACTGGGATTTTTGTTATTGAATTCAAAATATATCCTTTTAAAATGACAAAGGAATCAAATGTAATCCTAAGGCATTATCATATGTATTATGCCTTTTGTTGTCATAATCTGTTTGGATGCTAAATCTACAACAGAGCTCAGCAGCTGTTTTCATACATAGGAAAAAGAATACAGTATTTGATTTTAAATACATAGCACTTAGTTTAGATCAGAGAAAATCTTTTCCTTTTTCTAAGTGGTTTCTCTGTGAAAATAAATACTCCCAGAAAGCAGCTTGTCAAAGTTATATCAAAATAAATGATGCAACTCTTCAGTTGTTCACATCTCCATCAGAATATTGCAGTAAATTAATATCTGTATCTCAGTCTAATTGAGGATGCAGTTTAAATATCAACCCAAGGGTCTTGAATTGCTCACTAAATGATATGTTAAGACTGAAAGGGGAAGATTGTCTGATTTCATAATTACCCTGATCATACCCCTGTCTGTCCCTCAGCATGCTATTAGCAAATAGGCCGACTCCGCAGCAGCTTTGCTGTCAGAGGGAAAACGGCTTTCTTTGAGCCAGCAGGCAGGGTTACAGCACACCTCTCTAATTCCAGTTACAGGCCTGAAATTGCTTTTTCCACAAGTTAAGTCCTAAAAGATGCGGCGAGAAACCTCAATTAATAATCTGGACGTTTGTCACATCTGACATGAAAACACTGAATATTGAAGCATGGCATGGAGGCAGATATCCGCCTATATATATAGTGTGATAGAGCTTAGAAAGTGGTTAGTGGATAGTCATCTTAGGTTTTATGTTATATCATCGTGCCTTGGAAGGAGGATCCAGGTGAGAAAATGAGCTGACAGGAAGGATGTAGTGAGCCAGCTAAGGAGAGATTCATATTCTTTCCAAAAACACAAGCCAGCATTATCGAAATTTGTCAAACATGCATAAATACTTAGGCAAAAAAACCCCACTCTTAAATAGCAAATGCACAGCTTCACCATAACAGATTAGATATTTCTTTGCTTGGATTCTAAATTGTCTCTGTTGAGCGGTTTCTTTGTGATTTGGATGAGGCATAAAACTCATCTCTTCATGCTGTTGTTGCAGAATATGTTCAACTCAGGCGAGGACAATGGCGATGGCAGCGTGTACGAAATGATGTGCACCGCAGGTGAGTGAAGGATTGATGGGAAGTGGAAGGAGGACAAAGGAAAGCCGGTAATGGAATTGTTTTTTTTCCCCCACCACATCATTATGCTGGGTTGCTGTTCATTTCCGACCACTGAATATTTTCCCCTTGCTGATAGGCACATGTAGTGCTGCTTCTGATTAGCTGAGAAATGACAGTAGCAAAAACAGCATGTAGAACTTCATCATGACACTCAAGTAAGAGTACAGTAAACTCTTTGTGCATTAGGGACTCCCTCTACCACAGATGTACAGAAAGAGCAAGGAGGAGAGGATGGAGAGGAGGGGGATGAGGATATCTATGCACCACTGGGGGTGAATGATGAATATGATACCATCCTGAACTCAACAAAAGCAGTGGTTATTGCCAATCGCCCACCAGCACCCACACCTCGGCCTGAGAGCACCCAGGTGAAAGAGGACAGAACGCCTTACATCGCCAAAGGTAACTTATGATGACTTGTTATTCTTTTGTTGCATCCTTTCTCCCCTTTTCCTTCCAAGAAATTACAGATATGATGGAGCTGATTTTGAAGTAAAAACAACACTGAGTTATGCACAGTATGAAGGGGAGTTTGGGAGATGATGTGGGAGGGAGGAAGTGCCTGGAATGTGCATTGCCATTGTCAGTGGAGTGCAGCTGAATAGAGCAGAGAAGCTTTTTGCGATGCAGTTTGTTTTGATCCCATAAACCACAAGAACATGGTCGCTCCCCACTGCAAAACAAACAAAAGCGAGGAAAGAGAAAGACCCATTTGGCTGCATTTAGAGCCCACAGTCCCTAACTGTTCAATTTCAGCGGCGTGAATATTTCATGAAGATGAAACATCCAAAAGTGACTGGTATTATTAAGGCTTATAAATCATTAAAACGGCTGCGACTTCTCTGTTTCATCGTGCAAGTGCAAACATGCACACATGCATCCACAATTAATTGTTATTCCCACAAATAATATCACACACGCCCCTCTCTAACTATCAGTTGTGCATTTAAAACACACAAAAGGCACCTCTCGCCATTATGCAGCTTTTTATTGAGCTTGCTTGTATCCAGTAAGCCAATTCTCTGCCCAATGGGACTTACAAAGCAAAAAAAGTAATTGAGTGCACCACTGAACTCCCTGCATCCCAACCATCCCCAAAGTAACAGAGAGGGAACTACCGGGCTGCCATCTGCAACCAATCTTGGCCAGACCAAGGCCAAGTCAGCCAGAAAAAGTCATTACACATGTTTTCCATCGTCCTTGTCCCCAGAGCACACGAGAGAAAGGAGAGGGATTTTGAGGTTTCCATCTATTGAGACAGTGGAGCTTCAAACCACACAAGGATCACATTTTGCTCCTCACTCCCACTGCCGCAGTGAAAGATGTGAGAGGAGAGATGAGGCTTGGTGGAGGATTAGGCGAGGAGCCAGTTATTGGAGACCAGTGCACAAGTGGAAATAATGAGGAGTTTTCTTTTGTTAGCGGCAACGTTGAGCTAAATGAGACTGAAATGTTGAAATGTGAATGAAATTCTATCCTACAGAGTGGAATTACTGGGTGTGTAAACTACATCGAGAGCAATGTACACACTCCAAAGCAAGGCAAAGTAATAGCTACAGTCATGTGACAGATTGTCGGCAGTTCTCCACTTACATTTTCAATCTGAATAAAGCCATAAAGCCAGACTTGAGTTATGAGCAAGGCAGAAAAGAGAGGCTGTGTTTGAACAAGAAGTGGAAAAGAGAGACGCTGTCATGGAGGAAGCAGTCAGCGGTGGGATTATCTTGTAGGGTGTGGATGTTGAATTCTAATCCAGTGTTGGTCACACGGCCGCAGCTCCACCGCCTCTGACAGCTAAACAGAGTAGCCTTTCATTCTGAGTGCTCACTACCAAACCAAAAGCATCATTCATTCTAATTCAATCCAGAACTGAATGTGTGTGTCTTTCTCTGAGAGAAATAGAGATTTAAACTCAGGATGCCCGTTATTTCACAGATATTTAGATTCAATTATATGAGTGTTTTTTACTCATATCAACATTAATAGGATATTTTTTTCCTGCTGGCTTTTCACATTTAGATCTCCTAAATTAAGGGTATGGTGCCATCTTGTGGAAGAATTGTTAAAATGCAAACCATTTTTTTAATCCAGCTCTGGTTTGCAGTAGCCTTACTGTGTTTTCAGTAGGGTAATGTCACAGCAGAAAATGATATATGCTATAGCTTATTACATAAATGTTATATTATAATATATAATGTTATTGTAAGCTCCTCTGTGTTTACAGTGTTCCAGAAAAAGAAGACACCACAGGGCGATGGTGATCTGTATTCACTTCCCACTAAACAAGGTGAGTGGCAGGTGATATGGGAAAAAGGTTAATCAATTAATGTCACTTAAAGCGTTACTCCAGCGATTTAGTATTGCACTTCCATAAAGTTGGAAGACTCACAAGAGACGGATTACAAAAACAATGGTCAATACCAAAGCAGCAGAGGCCGACCTATGCTGACTTTTAATCCCTAAAATGGATAAAGCTTTGAAAACAGCTAATAGCATGTTTTTTTGTTATAACTTCCCTGCCTTGTCAACACCCATGTCTTTCAAACTCCACAACCCAAGTTTGTAGCAAGCCTTCTGTTATAAAGTTGTAGTCTATGAAAGTCCAGTCAAACCTGACATTTTGACTTATTGTCAAAACATATTATGTTAGATAGGGTACAGTAGAAAAGCAGACAGGAAATAGAGCAAGCAATGAATATGACATGCAACAAAATTCCCAGTTGGAATCAATCTGGGGACATTGCAATGACACAGCATGCATCTTAACCACTAGGCTACAAGGGTGCTGCCTCAAGGATTTTCTCAGACTTGAGAGTTTGCATCTTCATATTAATGCAGTGAGGCTTTAATAACCACTTTGCGCTCTAGTTTGGGGTCTGTCTTTCCACACAAAGCGTCAGCTGCAGTGTTCAATTTTGGAGCATGTATCAAAAATAACAAAATGTGAGGTGCTCTCAGCTACAGTAGACAGGTGCCATTTATTTCTATTTGCACTGACTCCAAAAATGTGCCTTTATTTCCCCTTTGTGGATGGAATTGGTATTATTACTATGGGATCTGCAGATGTTTTTACTCATAACAATGGGACTGTTACTGCCAATGGTTGTTGCTCTTATTTACCTTGCCTGTTGAAATTACCTACCGGGCGGTGTTGACATTCTTAGATCATTTTGTTAAATTGATTAAAATTGTAGTAACCACTATGGGGGAATAAGTCATTTCAGCAGCAATAACAGTAAAAGAAAAGCAATAAAAAAGAGCAGGTAGCACATTTGAACACATTTGGGTGCCAAGAAGATTAGACAAAATTAAAGTGTGAAAGAGAGAAAGAGCTGCTACACTGAGCACCCACAGAGCCATTTTTCTGCTTTCCTGTACTGTTGGCGACACTGAGTGACAGATCCAAAGATCATCACAGTCACCCAGAAAATTACTTACCACCATCACCTCATGACTCACTGACATTACAGATGTGCTGGGGAAAAATCACATTACCAACCAATCCCCTCTATGAATGCCATCTGGAATGGGTTCAAGCCCCGTCTTTTCTTATTTCTGTCACGCAAAACAATGAACAGTTTAATCTATGATCTATGATAGTATATAGGAAATCCAGCTTGTTAACTTGTCCTCACATATGTTTTTCACTGTTGTTAGATTTTATGATTTCTTAAAGCAGAATGTTTTTTTTCATTGAATTGTTGTCCATTGCAGCGCGGGGGCGAGAAGACAGCATCTCTTCCACCTATGATACTTTTGTGCCAAACCAGATACACGGACTACAGCAGCTCATTGAGCTCCAGCAGAGGGTGAAGGCAGGTTCACTCAGTGTGGATGGTGCCGTGGAGCGCTTCAGTGACTGGCAGAGGGGTCAGAAGGGCGTGGATGCCATCCAGCAGGTAGGACTATCACACACAGAGATCACACTCACTCTGGACTTGGAATGAAGAAGCACGCAGTACCAAACCCTTATAAAAGTATTACCATCTGGTGCTCATGCTAGGCCACCGTGCAAAAAAATGTACTCTCAACAGAGCATGAAGGTACAAGAAACAGTCTACCTTAGAGTAAAAAAAATGGCTATTTACAGAAAGCTTTTTCGAGGGCCCCACAGTGAGCAGAGATAGTGACAGAGGGCCACTTACCAATGTTTTTCTTGTACACATTACTTTCACAGTACAAGAAGGGAAAATGTGATTGCAGGTTCAAGCTTCTGTTTAACAGCCAGAAAGACTGATCAGTAATTGGTCAACGTATGTGTCTGTTTCTTTTGTCAGCCAATGACTCGTGTAGATTTTATTGTCTTTAGTGATTGATTGATAGAAGCATATACTTACACCCCAGCTCAGAGCAGACTGCGTTTTGTGGTGCGAGTGGGGAAAAATGGCTTTACTGATACTGATTCAAGTCTCAGAAGCAACCACACGAACATAAGCATTAACTTTATTAAGTATATTTGAATTAAGTTTATTTGAAAACACAATAAAAGTAATTGATGAGGAGTTGGTTTGTAAAATATCAGCTGTGACAAGTCTCGTAAATCACGGCAGAGGCAGAACAGTTAAGACTGAAAGCAACATCAAACATAAACTGGGCCAGTGTATATAACCAGTGGCTCATATGAAGGGGAATGAGGGATAGGTGTGCAGGCAGGTGATGATCAGGTGGTTTGGAAATGGCGGGAAGGGCTGAGGACACCTACTGGTTGGGGAAGGAATGACAGAAAAAGATGCAAAAATAAAGTAAAACGGCGCTGTTGCCAAAATAGACTAGTATCAAGTATCAAGTATCAAAGGCAAGCACTTGTCATGTATAAAAATGGCCCCTGTGATTGATATATTATTATTACATTATCAGATCTTTATTGATGATACGATAAGCCTTGGATCCCCGGAGGAAATTTAATTGTTGCAGCTTTGCAAGGATTAGGTCAGACACAAATGAATATATAGAGAAAGTAAAAAATAAATATTAAGAGAGTAAGATGAATCTGAGGGGTTGTGGGATGATTAATGGGATCAGAAAGAAAAAAAACAAAATTCTTCATTTTGTATTGGACTTTTCTCTCATCAATGGGGTTTTTGTGCAATATTGATCATTTTACTCATTATTTATTACTTAAATTATTTAAATGAAACTAATCCGAGAAGTCTGGAGGGGAAATGTCATTTCTTACTGCCATGGTCAGTTGTTGCATATTAAGGCATTATTCACAGACAGTCTGCTTTCAGTAGTCCTTCATGAATGTACCAAATGATTTAGGACGCAACTAAGCCTGTGGAAACATACATAATTTACAAATAATTTATGGAAATTTCATCATTTGTAAAGAACTGAATGTTTTGTGTATGTGTCTAATATTAAAGCACTGATCTTTGTCTGTGCAGGAGAAGTTGAGTCAGCTGAGAGCCAGTATCATCAGCAACAGAGAGGATGATGACAGTGTCTATGGTAAATATTCCTCCATCCTGGATATGCAGGTTAAGCTTTGCTGTCAACACAGAGAGGCTCCACAGAGCTCGGCCTTCCTGGAACTTTAACATGAAAATAAATAATATATAGTGCAGTTAAAGTTCTGCTGGAACAAGAAGCCACCTTATAAATGACTGTATTACTGTAAATGGCTTAGAAACTTCTTCTCTCCCTGCAGATAAAATCAACATCGTTCATCACACGCCAAGTGAGTCCTTTAAAAACTTATCTCAGTGTGCACAGAGAAAACCTGTGTTTGCATGCCTTTGTAGTTTCTCCAGTCCCAGTTGCAGTGGTGGGGAATTAATCCTCGGGGAAGTGTTATTTAATCAAATCCCCAGTGCCGTGTTTTGATCTAGTGAGTCCCACTTGCACTAAATGGGAGTCTTTTATTTTCTTTTACTGAACAATTCTCTGTTCAGCTGTGCATATTGGATAATTTCCCTCCAGGTGTTGCAGTGAATGAAAGTCGAAGAGGAAGCCAAGCAGCGGAGTCTGATTTTTACAGCAAGCCACTTAAAGGACAGCACGTAAGTTTACATTACTCGCCAAAGGAAAGCTTGGCAGAAGTTAGCATAAATACATTCATATAAACTTTGCTTGATACTGACAAATATCCCTCTGAATTGTTTGTTTTGCAGTCAAATTTCTTTTCCAAAGCTGACAAACGGTGAAGGTGGAAACAATTGGTGAATATGAATCCAGTTTTCTGTGAATAATTTCTTCTGAAATAAACTTTTAGTTTTTAAAAAAATAATTTTTTGATTTATTAAATGCATCAACTCTGTGACATTTTCCATATTTACAGGTTTCATCACTCAACGAAGAATCTACTCTTCCTCCAGTTATATCGGTTTTAAACAGTTTGAATACATAATATGTCATTTTAATTGTATTATTAACAATATTTTGTATTTCAAAGTAATAAAAAATGTATATATTTATTTCATACTTGTTTATGCTTGTTCAGCTCTTACTGCCTATTGTAAGATATTAAGGATGTTTCTGGTTTAAGGGGACATATATGATGTACAATGTGTATAACTGTGCTTTTGAAATTTTTCTTAATTTTGTTGTGAATATTTACCATGTCAGCAACTAACTTGTTAAATTTGAAAATGAAACTACTCAAATAAAGACATTTCTTTTCCACTGAATTAATGGCATGCTGGCTATAGTTATGAAAACTGTATACATACATACATTTTGTTCATGAATCTTTCAGACAATGAAAAACTGAAGTAAATCTACATCTTAAAAGGTTTAAATGGCAAGTGTAGTAGGTTTTCATGGGTCTGTATTCCAGGGAAAGGGATTCAATTTCCCAGCAAGTCTTGACCTGAAAAACCATTCACATCTTTTCCTCTAGAGGGCGCTGTATCTCTAAATATATCCATCACACTCACTGTTTGAAGCAACCAGAGACATCTGGTGAGCACAGAAGCACCTGCTGACCTCCTGATGGCTCGGAGGCAAGCTATGGGGGTAAAAAAAAGTATCCATATGTGTTTATAAATGTAAATGGAGAGTAAAAATACTCATGCAGCAGGTGAGGACATCAATGAAGTGCTGCGTCTGGTTGCAAACGTGTTTAATCTGGGTTTGGATCAGCCAAGACGTGACAAAATAAATCTACAAATGAAGTGTAATTGAAATATAACTGTAAAGCTACTACAACTCAGCTCACTGGGATGAATAGAAATGTCCACAGAGGGGTGCTGTAACAACAAGTGAGAATAAAATTAAAGGTCAAAGGCTTAATTTTCATGGGAAACTCACTCTGTTCAGCTGCCATTATGCAGGCATCTGTGTATGAAGAACAGCTTTACAATAATTTAATAAATTAAACCTAAAGAGGCCTTTTTAAAAGACATCCATGGAATTTCTGAAAAATAAACATTTACTGTATATACTTGTCAAAAATCGGAATTTGCTGTGATTTACAAAACTATTCAGGAACTGGCACAAATGCACACACTCTTTCTCACAGATACCAGTTTGTTGGTACAGCCCTGCCTGTGCCTGAATGAATGAATAAGAGCTGCATGGGGAATTCAGTGAATGCATGGCTAAATCCGAGCTCAGTCTTGAAACCCAGGCAGAGGCTGAGCTGTGTGCCAACAAAGCAGCTGGGTACACGCCGGGCACATTTTTCTGTTCAATCATGCTCTTTGTGAATAATATGTATTAATGCCGTCCCTACTTAGACCTGCCAGTTAGCCTTTGGAGATGATCCGGCTTCAGGACCCCATGGCATTTGAGGCATATGTTTGCCTGTCACCTGCTGAGTATATTTCAGTCCGTGCGTCAGGCATGGCCACCGAGATAGGCCTCGATTCATTGTGTATGCAAATATCTGAGCGCCGCCACAAGAAATGATTCCCCAGTCGCAGAGAGACAAGCAGATATAACTTCAGTGGCATGTGTCGCCCACACACCAAACATGCTTCTATATGTGGGCAGAGCTACATCAAAAACAAGGCATCAAAGAATCACCGTTTTTCAAAACCTTGTACTATATATCCAGTGTGATATTTATGAAATGGTTCAGTCTAATTATGATATAATTTGGTTGACCAAACTGATGCATTCTATGTTTTCTATGTATACACTTTTTTAATATCTATATTCAGCAGTGAAGAGTAACACATTTGCATTCTAAATTGAGGTACAATTTTAAGTTTTAGGGTTTTTTTTTTGTTTTTTTTTCATTTTGTGAGACTTGTGATACTTTATTATTAAGGGGGGGATGGATGACCAAGGGAAAAATATGGAAAAATATGGAGTGAAACTGAGTTGAATTAATATGATGTGCTGATGCTAACATGCTGACTTTTCACTATAATTTAACTTGTATCCTTTTTTATAAGTTGCTTCCCCTATCATTGTAAATGTTGTTCAATGATGTTTCAGCTTCTGAATGATGGTTTGTTTCTGAGAACTTTTACAACTAATAAATCATAAAGGTTTTGGTAATAAGTAATGTGAAAGGTTTATTTTATTTTAAACTCATGCTTATATAAAATTCTGAATACTAGACTGTTACTTTTAATGTCATATGCCATTGTGTTATTGCAGCTTTATTTAACGTAAAATATTTTTCTACTACTCTGATTTTAACATTGCTTAAAACACATGAACTTCTTTAAAACAATGTTTTTTGACTTGTTGGCAACTTGGAGGCAGCTGAACACGCTAAATGACACACTGACATATCATATCATCTTACATTACCTTATAATATTGATATGGCAAAAACTTTGTCACTTACTTTGCAGAAACACCTGCTTGGTTGATGAGAGCTGTGAGACTGAACCCAAACAGGGAAGTTGCGGACCGCTAAAAATAAAACAATTAAATGAGAGATGTTAAATTGCTCTGTACAATTGAGGTCAACAGAAACTAATTTGTTAATATAAAAAAATGATTAGTGCAGCTTTAAATTTCCCTTCAGCACTGCTGAAGACACTTTTTTATGTATTCTCTATTATACAGCAAGAACTGAAATTCTGTAGAAATCTTGACAAACTTCCCAGTTGGATTTCCCCTTCCTCTCTATTCCAGCAGTACGCTTGGTCAGATAGTGGAGAGACAGGATTATACAGTCAACGCATCAATAATATTGTTATGACACAGCTCTTAACTGGCGATGGCCTCTACCAATTGAAACATGAAGAGCCAAGCTGTCGCCTCAGTCATCTGCTGAATCCTCCCTGCATCCCAGAGACACCGCTGGTTCCACGCTGCTGCAAAAACACTCATGAGACTATAGACACTGGGATAACTTATCAGGGATAACTAGTCTACTGAAGGAGCCTGCATAAACACAACCATTCAGAGCTTCTCCATTATGCACCTTGGCATGCATGCAACACACACAGGGAGGCAAAAACACACATACACACCTCCTCTCCTTGCTCGGTCCTCACTCTGGCCCCAGGATTAGGGCAGAGGATTGTGCACAGCTGCTCCCCAACATCCCCGATAAAAATCAGGCAATTTCACAGTCAGTGGCATTCTTTCATCCCCTAATCCACACCCCGCATACAGTATAGATGAACCTCACTGCGATGAGAACAAGCTGTTCTGAGCTGACCCCCCCGGTCAATGTGGACACCTTCGATTGGCTATAGAGACATTGAGCGGTCGAACCGTAGGTTGCAGGAGCAAGGAAGAAGTGCCCGGTCCAGTGCTGCATATTGACCTTCTCTTCCTCTTTAGCTACTAATTAGATGTTTTTGTATCGACCAACAGCCACCAGTCTTGCAAACAAGGATCACAGCTAATGCAGGAGAAAAATAGGAAAAATAGTGTTTTAGTGAATAATGGTTCCTGAGAGTCAGCTAATGGTTGGATTTTATAAAATGTCCATTCAAGCTAAATTTCAAAACTCATCACCAATTGTTGCAGAATGAAATGATTTTAAACCACTTTAAGAATGATCTAAATTCCAATTTGCACTCATATAAACAGCCCTCTTCTAATAACAGCCTTGACAGGAACAGCCATCGTCTATAGAGACTTAATTTAATGCATTTACTTAGTCATTGTGTGCCATTATTCTTCATAGTTTTTCCCCCCTTTTCAAGTCATTCACTTCACCCATTTTGTCTGACCCCAACCTCCATTTGCAGAGTGATTCTTCACCAAAGTTCAAACAGGGGACAAAAAGGTACTTCACAGCAAAAAAGAGAACGGGGAGAAAAAAAAAGTATGAGTCAAAAGGCAAGGAAATGGAATTCACTGTACAAACGTCGGGAGAATTTCAATGTCCGCTGAGGCACAGTAGAGCTCTGTTCGGTCCTCACAGGCTGTGGGGTGAAAAGAGCAGCAGCCACAGCAGGGTACATCTATTCTGACAAGTCCTTACACACACTGAAAAGCCTGAGCAAGGTCTATTTGTTTAAGAGGCAATAGACCCAGCGGAAGGATGCTGAAGCTTTAACACGATAACAGGATAATTTTATGGTTTTGCCTTGGGACGATGTGAAGGTAATCAACTAAAATGGAATATTTCCTGTTGCTGTTTGAGCGTTAACACTTGATTATAGTTTCTGATTTCAAAAACACTGACTTGTGTCAAGAAACATATTAAACGCAAACCTTTTAAAGACTATATACTGTTAAGTATGACATATTTCACTGGAAAGACCTCGGTTCACATCCTGGGAGTAAAATATTAAAACACGGGGAAAGCACAGTTTTCTGCTGATAAATGACGTGAGACACAGAGCTGCGGTCTTCTCTCTTCTTTTAATTCTGATTAATGCAGAAAGTTTGGACATTTCTCTCAAAGAGGGCAGCACCTTGCCTACTTTTGCAACAGTAACTCCTTTACTCACATCGTTTCAAAATGGTTAATGGATGTAGATAATATTAACAATGTGATTCTTCTGGTTCCTTCTTAACCTCCTCCGCAAAGGTCAAAAGTTAGTGTTGGATTCAAAACTGCACCCTTGGGAAACAGAACTCACTCGGAGACTCCTCATAAGAATGCTTGTCAGTACCATAAAATATAAAATAATCAGATTGCATTTCTATTATGTTACTGAGCCTAATAGGTTTTTTTTAACCATGCATGTATTATTATGATTTATTTTATTTTATTTATTTATTGTTAAGCAGTATAGGAATTAGAAATAACCCTCATCCAGTCTCTTCTATCCTGGAGCCT